CCTCAGAAACCCTGTACCAGGTTACTATGAGTCGGAACTGACCCCATTTCACCCAAAGAGCAAGAAGGCAAGTCTCTCTAAATGCTGAGAGGGTCTGTGCATATGCATGGTGGAAAAATCCTCCAGTGGTGGGGGCAGGGGGTGTCTACTCGCTCAGGCACCACCCCCTCTAGTCACCAGAATGGAGGTGTGCAGACCGCAATGAACAGATAACAACAAAAAAAGAAAAATCAGAACCAAACCAAACCAAACAGAGAATATTGTCACCTTTGCTCGGAGGTTCCCATGGTCATTAATTCCTAGCGGGTCTGTTCTCGCCCACTTGGTCTTGCCATTTGATCTCTCCCAAGTTGTTGGCTCTGGGCGCTGAGCCCAGCAGATTCTAAAGTACTAGGGTCCTACTTCCACTACAAGTTCCACTATCTAAAAGCCTTCAAACTTTTAAAATATTCCTACTTATGTGGCTCAGTTTTGGAGCTCTCCCCTGAACCCGCTTCGTCGGGTGTTCTGTGGTATTGCTGACTGAGATCTTCACTGCACCTCTACCCTATCCACCAGCAAGCCTCACCTCTCTGTAATCAGATGTTTGTTTGTTTGTTTACTTTTTATTGTGAATTGAGTGAAGGTTTACAGAGCAAATCATCAATTTTACGTTCAACAAATCATATACTGTGCTTCATTACAATGATTGCAATACCCTCCATTTACCCTCTATTTACCTCTATTCACTTTAACTACTGCATTCCTTCCTGTCTTGTGCTACCTTCATCTGTCCTCTGCCAGCATCCCTCTTGTTGTATATTGCCTGCGCTGTCTCCCGTGTTAATATATCTACCCTCTAACTCATGAATAGTTTCCCTCCCTGCCCCAACCATCCTAGAATGTTTCTTTTATCAAGAAAATCTTTTCTTCACTTTTTTACAACAGTGGTCTCATACGTATTTATCCTTTTGTGATTGATTAATTTTACTTAGCATATAATGTCCTCCAGATTCATCCATGTTGTGAGGTGTTTTGCAGTTTCATTGTTATTATTTAACATTATGTTGTTGTTAAGTGCCTTTGAGTCAGTTCAGACTCAGAGCAAACTTGAATAGGATTCCCAAGGAGTTGCTGGTGAGTTTGAACCACTGACCTTGCAGTTCAAACTGACTCTGTAGTCTAATGCTTTATTCCACAAAGCCTCACCAAGACTCCATTGTGTGTGTGTACCAGTTTGTTTAACCATTCCTCTGTTGATGGGCATTTAGGCTGTCTCTTGTAGACAGTATTTTGAAGGTTCTTCTTTTCTTATAAATTCTGCTACTCTTTGTTTCTTGACTGGTGCATGTAATCCATTACATGCATTCTGATTATCCATGGGTGTGAACTGATTGCTGTCAGTTTGCTATATGTATGTTTTGTGGTGCTGCTAGCTTCTTCCACATAATTTTCTCAGCTGAGTTCATCTTGTTTATGGGTTTTCTTTGCATTCCTGTTGTGTTAATGTTTACTAAATCTTTGTGGTTTTTCTTTTTTATATTTTGATGTGAGGCTATAATGATTTTCTTCAGTTGCCCTATAATTTATAAAGTTTTGTCCCATTGAGAACTGTTTGATTGATATTGAAATCTACTTGACTTCCTTGTCATTTGGATGTTCTGTATCTACTATAGTCACTCATTTTGTTCTGTAGTAGACCTCATTATAAATTGGCATCTCCAGTTCCCTGTTTTCAGTCTTGTAGGTTGTTAATCTCTTATTGTTGGTTCTTACTTCAGAAAACACCCATTTGTATTTTACTTGGCCAAAATTAGTCTGATTATTACAAATTCCTTTAATTTCTGCTTATTTGGAAATGTCCTAGTTTCACTGTTTTATTTGAGGGACAGCTTTACTGGGTATATGATTCTTGATTAGCAACTTTTTTCTTTCAGTTTTGTATGTATTAGCCCATTGCCTTCTTGCCTGCATGGTTGTTGCTGAGAAATCAGAGCTTAGTCTTACTGGTTCTCCTTTGTAGGTAACTTTTTGTTTTCCCTGATCTGCTCTCAGGATTTTTTCTTAGTCTGGTTTTGGAAAGTTTGATTGTGATATGTCTTAGTGATTTTCTTTTGGGGCCTGCCCTTTTTTGGGGGTTCATTCAACTTTTTGTATGCTTTATCTTCTCGTCTTTCATGATGTTAGGGAAGTTTTCATCCAACAACTCTTCATCAATTTTCACTATACTTTTTATTGTCTTTTCCTGTTCTGAAATTCCAATCCACCTGAAAGTTATTCTTCTTCATGGTTTCCCATATAACTCTTAGACTTTCTTCAGATTTCTTCTAACATATTAGTATTGAGAGATTTCTCTTCAAGTTCATAGATTGGTCCTCCATTGCTTTGAGTCTATTCCTTTGCCCTTTCAATATATTGCGCATTTCTGAAACTTTAGTATTAATCCTCTGGATTCCTAATTGCAGGTTTTGTATTGTTTCAAAGTTTGCATTTATTTTGTTTGTCTGTTCTTTTAGGTTTTCCTGAATTCTTCTAAAATTTTTCTATGTTCTTTCTTTCCTCGATCTTCCTGTCAGTTCATTGAAGGTGCCTAAATACCATTCTTTTGAATACTTTTTCAGTTGATTCCATTGCCTCTTCTCCCCCAGAAACATTTTCGGGCTCTGCATCTTGGTCCTTTAACACATTCTCTCCTGTTGTTTCATGTGAGCCAAACTGTCTGCTGTCTCTAGGACATGTCCTGGTGCTGTCCTGTTTATAGTGAATTGATGTTTGTCTGTTGCTGTATTCTTAGGCACTCACCAACAGTTTCCTGTGGGTATAGTTAGAGAATGGAAGCATGGATGCTGTTTTCCATTCAGTGTCCGTGCACCTCATTTTACGGTGAGTTTACTGTCTATTGTTGATCATATGGTAGTGGAGCTGGTACTGGCTCTTGCCCAGTGGGTGGAGCTGTATGCTTGTGGCTGGATTGTATGGACATGGTTGCAATGGGAGAAAGCATACACACACACACACACACACACACGCATATACGAAAACAAAAGAGAATAAACAAACAAGCAACCAACAATGAAGAGAAAATAATTAAGGAAAAAGAAATAAAAACAAGAAAAAAATAACTAAAAAAAGAAAAGGGACAGGTTGATGGAGCTGTAGAGGAGGAAAATAAAAGGAAGAAATTTAAGAAAAGAAAAGAAAAAAACAGAAGGAAAATGAACAGAGGAAAAGACTAGAGTCATAAAGAAAGATCAAAAGAGGGGAAAGATGGGAATGGGAAACAGAAGAGAAGGGAAAAAGGCATAGAGATAGAAAGGCCAAAATTCAAGGGACTGGAAAGAAAAGAAGAAAGAATAAACCAAGACACCAAAAAGGAAAAAACAAAAAACATTTGTTGCTGTTGGACCTGGAGAGAAGAAAACTCTGTGGGTCTTCTGACAGCTGAGGAGCTCACACGGTGGGTATGGGAAGGATGGAGTTCCTGTAGACCTAGGTGGAAACTATGCTCAGGGCACTCAGTCCAGAAGTCATTCATTGAGGCCCTCGATGGAGCTGTTTCAATGTTTGTTAGGAGCACAGGGAAGCTGGGGACAGAGTGTTTGGTGCACAAATGTGAATAATAGTGGTATTAACTGGTTCTTTTAAATTTATGGCTATTATCCTATCACAGACAGCAATGTACTTCAAGATAGAGCTTAAAATGTTGTTTTTAACATTGAACGCATCACCATTTCTCTTCAATTTGTGGTTTGGGCATGGTAAACCATATGATTGATTCACAGTGGCCAATACCAGTTCATTTCAGTTCACTGTTGCCTAGAATATGAGTGCTTATACATTCCATTTCACTTTGGACAGCTTCTAATTTCCTAGATTCATACTTTGTACATTCTATGTTCTGATTATTATATAGATATTTGTAGCTGTTTCTTCTCAATGCTGTGTGTATTTTAAGTACCAGCAGGATCACCCACAGTGGACAAGTTTCAGCTAACAGGTTTTACCCATGGTGGACAGGCTACAGACAAAGACAGACTAGGAAGAAGTAGAGACTCAGATGTGCATGTGAAAGGTAGACACTGAATAAGGAAGACCAGAGAATGCATTGGATTGTGCTGTTAGAGAAGAATATTGAAAAGTCCAAGGACTGCCAGAAGAACAAACAAATCTGTATTGGAACAAAACAGATTATTCCTTGGATGTGAGGAGGGCAATACGTCATCTCTTGTGCTTTAGACATACTGTCATCAGGAGAGAATAGTCTCTGGAGAAGGACATTATGCTTGGAAAACTGAAGAGTCAGTGAAAAAGAGGAAGACCCCAACAAGCTGGAGTGCCACAGTGACAGTAGCAATGCACTCAAACATAATAATTATGAGGATGGCACAGGACCGGCCAGTGTTTTGTTCTTTTGTGCACAGGGTTGCTGTGAGTCAGAACTGAGTTGATGGCACCTGTCAGCAATAACAGAGTAGTCCTGTAAGTTCAATCAAATAATGTCATTCTAAATGCATGACATACATAGTAGGTGCTATGTCAATGTTAGTTGCTTAATTCCTAGTCAATTTTCCCACTTCTCATTGATAAAATGTTGGGATTACTTACATGGTTTGAGATATATCAAAACTTAATTAAATTTTTTCTTTTTCTTTTTTTTGAGAGGCAGTGATGAATTATTATAGCACCCAGTCTGTAGTCTCTTCGAATTTCAGTGAACTGAGAGGTTAAGGGTGCCCTAGAATATGAGAACTGTCATTCTGTCATGTGAAGAGCACTGGATTTAGAATTCCTGGGTTTCAGAAGAGGCACCGCCACTGAAGTGGATATTGGGCATGTCTTATATCCACTTTGGTTCCTCGTGTATATGTAGGGGATGATGGAAGGAGGATCTCAGACCCTCTCAGCTGTGGAAACGACGATTCTTTGTGTTGACCTTCTTTTTCTTGATTGCGATTTGCAGTATGTGTTTCTGCTTCTGATTAGTTTGCTGATAATTAAAATTCTATTTGTTCTTATTTTAGAAATATACCATAAGTATGGATTTTGTGAGAAGATTTGAAGTGCAATGTGGATCCCAGGCCAGTGTGAAAAGATTAAGAGCACATCCTGCCTATCACAGTTTCAATAATAAGTGGAACTTGCCCATTTATTTTCAAATAAGGTCAGTAGTTTTTTTCCTCCCACCTTTACTTTTCTGAAGTAGAATTTGGATACCAGTTAAGGATGTTGCACCCAATTAACAGCTACTTCTCTGTAATAATTATAGTACCCCCTGGAAAACAGACGTTAAAGTGAAAATGTACAAGTAGTATCATGGTTGCCAAAGTTGTAGCTTATTTTTTTGTTACTGAGAGACCTCAGAGCACTAGACTTGGAGCAGGCTAGACTTCAAGCCCAGCTTCAAATCCACTTGTTTTGTGCCCATTCAGTTTGAAGATCATCCTCTTTAATAGAAAAAAGGAGGAGTTAATGTAGCTACTCTTTCTTTCTAATTTCCTGTCTCATCACCTGCCTCAAATAATGGCCCCATCCCACATCTGAAACACTTTTCTCTGAGTGGAAACACTTTTCTCTGAGTGGAGGTAAAGGTATGCAAAGAAGCATCACTTGAGTGTTTGGGGGTTTTTTGCAGCTAATTTCATCTATTAGTGTATAAGAATCCTAGTTTTTATTTTTCTACCTTTATAATCTTTGTGACATTTGTTCTTTCTACTCTAGAAAATGGTGATCTGTAGTAAAATCACAGATAATAAGATAATATCACTTACATGAGTCAATAAGAAGTTCTGTTGAGTGATTGGGAGATTTTTTTTAAATGCTGAACAATATGTGTTCTAACAGAAAAATAGATAATAATCATTTTGGCAGATTTTCTTGGATGAGGTGAGGCAATGGCTAGGTCGCCCATAAAAAGTCATCAACTAAAACATTGTAGTTGACTTTCTCTTTGAAGAATTAAAGGCTTTTTGTTTAAATTGCTGGATGCTTTCATTAATTATGATGTATTGAGGAAAAATTATAGAATATTTTTAGAATTAGACACCTTGATCATAATTACTTGGCATGATTGTAAATGTATGTAATCATCTTTTTTATAATGAAAGCACATTTTTCAGAATATAGTTATAAAATGCCCTTTCATATACGGTACTGTGTTTTATTGCTTAATTTTCCATCATCATGTAGTGTTTTTATTAGAAAATTAACGATTTGCAGGTAATATATTCTTAGACTGCATCAGAAATAATTGTTATATTATCACCAAGATAATCTAGGACAAGAAGCCCTTTAGATTTATGACTAAAATTTTTAGTAATGAACCAACATTTTACAGAAGAAGAGTCCAGTAGTGAAATAATATTTCAATTTTACCATTTGTTTTTATAGTTTAAGTTTGAGGTTAGATTACTTTGGTCTCTGATGCTAGCCCATCCCCCTCTCCTCTGCCTGTTACCTCCACAATCAGTAGTCCTTTTCCTCAGACCACATGATAACCTGCCAGGACACTTCCGGAATCTCCCAAATCTCCCTGTGTCCAGCCCCTTGCTCTGGCCTGGGCCAGCTGGATCCCCGTGAGGTCACCACACCGCCTGACCTCCACAGATTCTCATGACCGTTACTCTCAAATCTGTGAGGCAGGTCTGAAACTCAGCCAGTTCCCTGATGCTTTCGCCTTCACCATGTTTGAGACTTAAGTATTCAAAGGGCTTACTTGACTTTTCCTTATAAATTTTAAAAATGGTGTTTTATTTATGAATGTTTTCAAGGCCTGTTTTTTCATGTAACACAATTTCAGATGCTTCCTAGGACTGCTTGGTTAATTTTTAGCAGGTGTTGGATTACTCACCTAGAAGGGTGACAGAAGTCATGCAGACATGGTAGACCCAGAGTAGCATTGTCGTCTCATTCCCTTCAGGGTCAGCAGAGTAAACCGGAAAGATAGTGGGTGATGCTGGTTAGACATTTTCCTCAGGAGGAATATTGGTATCACGTTGTGCTCCTGGGTCTAACTAGATGCTAACACCCTACATCCCTCTTACCTGTTGGAGAAAGAGGCACTAGACCTGCTCCCTGCCCCGCCCCCGCCCCAACATTCCTGACATGCTGTGTATTCTGAGACCCCAGTGTCTCCATTTAATTTGCTCTTATGACATATTTGAAAGGTGGTTTAGGACTCTGTTTCTCATGAGGAAAAATAAATAAATACAAAGGTGACCAAGTAGGCTCAAATTGTAGTGAGACAGTCAGTGCCTGGAAAAAAAGAGTGTTAATTCTTATAATGCCAAAGACTTTTTAAATTTTTATTGAAATCTTTCTGGAATGTTATATGCTCCCAGAATGTTTACCTGTATGAGTGGGTTTCAGAAAGTTCTTGGGAAAATCGAATGAAAAGATAATGGAATTTCTTTCGAAGCTACCTCATGCATGCTGTATATGTTATATTTGAAGTATCCTTCTTTATTATACAGAATTTCTGTTATATGTAAAAGCAAAGTCTATAACCATTAGTTTTGCATAAGTCTTTTTGTATTATTGTATTGTAGACCTGTGATATTCATGAAGAGATACTTCTACAGATCATCTCCAAACCCAAATATAAGAGTTCAGAAATCTTTGTATTTAGGGCTCTGAATTGCTTTTAAAGGGCACATAGTATTATCCCAAAACAAAATGATCCATTAGACCAATTAATGTTTAGCACGTGTCAGAATTTACTGTTAGCAAAGAGACAAAAATTGCCCTGGAACAACCAGTATGAAAAGGGGAAAATTAAACAGTTGGGATACCTATGTAGGCAGCTAGTTTAAATATATATGTTGCCATTTATATTTATTGTTTCCTTTCCCTAAAACAAGTCATTGACGGGATGCTCTGAGATGCCAGGTGGTACAGGGTCAGTCAGAAAAACAATCACATCACAGAAGCAGTATGCAGGAAGTGACCCTCAGGGCCAAGTGATGTGAAGGGGAAGAAGACCAGGCAGTGAAGTCTAGTGCCAACAGACCCCTTGCAGTAATTGTCGTTGGGGTGCAAACAGCTGCTGGCTACTGTTTTCTCATTGTCCAGTACAGGGCATTTAGTAGTCTTTGATAGTAGTAGCATGTCAGCCAAGTGTTGGAGACTAGAGAAACCATCAACCAAACGAAACAGAGAAACAAAAGTTCTGCATTGGCTGGAATGATTTTAGCTGAGGGGAACTAGTCAGGAGTGACTTCTTTTTTTTTTTTTTTTTTTATTAAATGTTTTTATTTTGGATTGAGTGAAAGTTTACAGGGCACATCATCAGCTTCACATTCAACCATTCATATAGCTTGTTTCATTACATTGATTATTATCCCCTCCATATATCATCAGTTAACAGTGTTTCTCTCTATCCTCTTTAGCTTTTTTTTGGGGGGAGGGGGGGGTGAGAGGGTAGGGAGGAACTTGCCTTTTTGGAATTTAAAGTCTCGGCTTTTAGGAAAGGTTTTTACATTTGTCTGTGGATATCCAGGGCTCATGTATGAGATTACTAACAAGCATTACTGAATAATCAGATGAGGGACAGTTTGCTATGTCTACTAGGTGGCTAAAGTCTGATCCTCAGAGCCTATGGTTTGGATGGTCAACAACGCTTGGGCCCACAGGGTCTTGACCTCCTGACCGGGTCTGCACGGTCTGCATCAGATTCCCCCTTATTTATTGTTTGTTTAAGGGACGCTGCCTGTCTTAGGCGGTCAGTGCGAATTCCTCAGTCTTACCCATCAGGAGTGACTTCTTGATGGAGACTTGTGGGCAGTTTTCAGTTGAAAACCCTTGGGTTGTTTGTGATCCGGTAACAAACTGCAGGTAACAGAGCAAACCCCCTGTAGTAGTGGTACAGTCAGGATGTGCTATTACCTTCTCGGAAATAAAAAGAAGAGATGTCCTGCGCAAAGAGGTGTCCAGGGCTGGTAGGACATCTCTGAGAGTGCTGGGCTTGTCAATGAGAGCCTGGAGGCCCTTTTACTCATGAAGAAGTGTGGGATGGAGAGGGTGCTGCATCTAGCAGTCTGTCACAAACACTAATTCATGTCCTGGCTTTGTTTCAGATTCCGAGAAATAGCAGGAACCTTAGAAGCAGCGCTTACGGATGTACTGGAAGATGCTCCAGGTAACTTCCTGAAAGTGCTAAGTTGCAGGGTCTCAGCAAGCGAGTTAATTAAGTTCCTCACATCATTGGCGATCTTTGTCACCTGGGGGTACTTGTACCTTTCCTATCAGATAGTAAGTTGGAACTTACAATCAGTTTAACTTTTTTTTTTTTTTTTCAATAAAGCACCTTGCTTTAGACAGATGCTGTATGAAGCAGAATTTATTTTCAACCGTGAATATATAACGTGTCATGGTGCTATAGTCCACGAATACCTCAGTGTCCAGCCTTTCATGTTGTAAAATGTCTGCCATCTGGTTTCCTCAGGCCAAAACCGGTTAGTGTGGTCAAGAATAAGTATGCTCCTTCGTCTTCCTGCAGAATGATTCTCAGTCAGAGTTTGTGCTTGAGGCCCCCAGGCCCCATCGACCTGTCTTGGGACGTTGGACATGTAGCAGACTTGCCAGAACATGTTTGCATATTATCATAGCCATCTGTAGTTTTGCATCATGTTATATTCCTGGTAAACATTGGAATATCATGTGACTCTGTCTGTAGCCACATAGGTCTCTGTGTTCTGTGACTTCATTTCTATCTTTTGTGCAACTAAGTCAGCTGTCAGATCTGTACTGCACTATTTTAGCCGCAGAGTTAGTCTTCCTCTGTCTCTGCCAGAAATAGGCATAATTAATTGACTTCCTATATATAAATAGCAAGTATGCAGAGGTGGAGAAAGAGAAGAGTAGACAGCTGAAACAGGACAAGTTCAAAACAAAAGTCCTTTTCAAATGGCTGCCACTCCATCCGTGTATGAAATACTTCTTCGTACCCTTTCCTCCAAGTTGTTTCTAAATGCTAAAATTGTTTAATATTTATCCAAACATCTGGAAGATAGTTGCTGTTTCGTTAAGTGTGATTGAGTCAGTTCCTACTCATAGGGACTCTGTATAGGGTTTCCAAGGATTGGCTGGTGGGTTTGAACCACTGACCTTAGAGTTAGCAGTCTAGTGTTTATCCTGTATCACCACACCAGGAAATGGTAGCATGTAAAATGATTGCATTTAGTAAACGTTGGGCAGTGGTAGTTGACCATCCACATTGCTTCCACTGGCAGCTTTGCAAACCACCATATGATGTAATTCTGCAGAATACCACTTTCTAAACTCTTGAAGTATACATTGGAAGTATGAGATTATAGCACATCATTGACTTAACTTCACTGTGATTCCTTAAATGCACATTTTTTTTCTCCAGCTGGAAGTTCATATTGCCTTTTGGCTTCTTACATAACATGGAGCAGTCTTAGAAAGTGTTGGTCAGATGAGATGTTTCTGCCATTGCTGGTGCACCGCCTGTGGAAACTTACCCTTCAGATTTTAGCCCGTTACTCCATGTTTGTCAACGAGGTAAGGGCCAGCTGCATGCCTCATTAGTAGTTAAGACTGATAAGAATCAAAGACACTAAGCTAAATACTACAGTGAAAATTTAAAATGGTATGTTGTGGCCTGGGGGTTAATTCAGACTCAGTGGTGGGCTAACTTCTCAAGGTTGTTAGCCAGCTCTCTCTCTCTGTTTCATTTATAGTCTTTCACTCATTCGCTCTGGTAGTGTAGTGGTTACGAATCGGGCTGCGAGCCTTAAGGTCAGCGGTTCGAAACTACCAGCCGCTCCGCGGGAGAAAGATGAGGCTTTCTACTCCCGTAAAGATTTACACCCTCGGAAACCCTGTACAGGGTCGCTATGGGTCGGACCTGACTCGATGGCACTTAACAACAACAACAACAACAACTCATTCCTTTTAAAGGTCTTTATCATCACATATTCTCTGCTTTGTTGAAAAGCACCACACTTGACAAGCTTTTCAGCAGCCATCTTTTTGAGATCTATCTAAATTTAAATACTCATTTTCATAGCAATGAAATCATAATATAAATATTTAACATTTATAAATTAAAATAATCATACCATTATAAAGATAAAAAGTAGTAAAAATAACTTCTACTTCTTTTCAAAATATCCTACTTTGCCCTTTTTTAAGTAGTCCAGTATATGAGGAGGCTTCAAAAAATTCTTCCAAAAAAATTGCATTATTTTTTATTCCACTTTTCCATAAACTTTTTTCAAACCACAGGGAGTTTAATAAACAAAATTAACTTACTCTTGACAGTGGGCAGAGACTACTGCAGATAAAGGGAACCTTTCCAAAAATGATGATGATGTTATGTGTCCTCGAGTCCGTTCTGACTCATAACAACACTACAAACAACAGAGCGAGTGAGATTTGTATTTTTGCTAGCCAGAATTTCTTAAAATGTCTCTTATAAATTATTTTGACTTGAATTCAAATGTATTACATTTTGCATCACATTCTTTTCTTGAAGCTATGTGCTTTTCTTTGTTTGTTTGGTTTTTCCCCTTGTAACAACATGTTAAGCAAAGAAGTCTTGGTTGGTAATACAGTGAGCGTCAACTCCAAAGAGCAGCCTGCTATTTGCAAGTTGCAGTCTTACCATTCTTCTTTTGCTCATTTTAGTGGAAAATATTTGAGTTTTCCTTCTCTGGCACGTTTTCTCCTTCCACAGGTCCCTGTGTTCACAGGTTTTGCTGTATTATTTGAAGCAAAGAGAGATTGAGATTTTTTTAACGTTTGCTAATTCTAATTATAAATTTATTAATTAAATTTAGTAAATTGTTTACCCAATACATTTATTTTTTAAAGTCCATGGTATGCCACATATTAATTTTTCTTTGGTTTCAGGACCTACTTATTTTTCATTAGCCTTTTACTTTTGTGTATGTATATGTGTGTGTGTGTGCTAGTTTTTTTTTAAGATTATACTTTTTTAAAAACTGTCTATTGTGAATTGAGTGAAGGTTTACAGACAAGATCATCAGTTTTATATTCAACAAATCATACACTGGTTTCATCTCAATGATTGTAATCCCCTGCATGCAACAATTATCCCACTTTCTTCCTATGATTCCTGTTTCATTCTACCCACTTCCCATCCCTTCTCAACTTTTTCCATAGCTAAATGCTGCCTTTTTTATTTTGAATGAATGACCATTCCATTGTGAACATACCTTACTAGTGTTGTTGTCCCCCCGTATATACCTGTCTACTGCTTGAATGAAAATTGGACCACGTGGGTGAGTGCCTTTTCAGACTGAAGAGTAGTAGTCAAGGGCCATAGTTCCTCCAGTCTCTTTCTGACCAGTAAGCGTAGTATCTTTTTATAATTTTGAGTTTTGTTCCATATTTCCACCACGCTTTCTAGGACCTTCTAGTGTGGTCCCTTTCGGAGCAATTGGTAGTGGTAGCCAGGCACCATCTAGTTCTTTTGGTATCAGAGTCACGGAGACCGATATTCACATGTTTCATTACTTGGGCTAATTGATTCCAAGCATCTTCAGTTCTCATCAGTCTTCATCAGGAATGAATGTTGGAATTCATTACATGCTTTTTCTGTATCAATGGTTATGGTCGTGTGGCTCTTTTCCTGGATTTTATTTATGTGGTGGATTACATTGATTGTTAGTTTCTAATATTGAACTAAGGAGCTCTGGTAGTGTAGTGGTTATGAATCAGGCTGCAAACCTCAGGGACAGCAGTTGGAAATTACCAGCTGTTCCGCAGGAGAAAGATGGGGCTTTCTGTTCCCTTAAAGATTTACAGCCTTGGAAACCCTGTACAGGGTCACTGTGAGTCGGAACCGAATCCACAGCACATAACAACAACAAAAACAATATTGAACTATCCTATCATCTCTGGTATGAATCCCACTTTGTCATGAGGTATTATTTTTTTTTTATATGTTGTTGAAATTTTTTGGCTAGTATTTTGTTGAGAATTTGCATCTTTGTTTATGAGGGATACTATCTTTAAATTTCTTTTCTAGTGATGTTTTTGTCTGGTTTTGATATGAGGGTCATGGTTGCTTCATAAAATGTATTCGGGAATTTTCCATCCTTTTCTGTATTCTGGAATAGTCTGAGTAGAATTGGTGTCAGCTGTTCTCTTATGTTATTTGCATCTTCTCTTTCTGTTTTTTTGTTAAATTTGCCAATGGTTTGTCAATTTTATTAATCCTTTCAAAGAACCAACTTTTTTTTTTTTTTGATGTTTTATTGTGAATTATGTCATAATTTACATGGGAGAACATTAGTTTTACATTCATCCTATCGTATATCATTTCATTGCCATGGTTACAATCCCCTCCATGCATCATCAACCAACCAAAGGGTATACAATGCAAGCCTGCCCCAGGTTATCAGCACATAGCCCCTCTCCCTCTCTGTGTCTAAAGTACCCAACTGCACCATCTCTCCACGTCATCGTCTCTGCCTCCATCTCAGACATCACTGCTTCTCTGGGTAGGGTCCCGCTCTCCGCTCTTCTCCCTTGATGGTCCCAGGGACCTCCACTCCTAGACCGAAAGGTGAATCACTCCCCTCCTTGCTACAAAACATCTACCTTTACATTTCCAGCCCTCACAAGCAGTCCTGATAACAATTATTCTATTGTATCACAGCCCTGTCTAGACAGATTGTATACTACTCAGTGGAGATTCTACCTTCCTTCACGCCCTCTGAATCTAGGTTCCTTCTTGAAAGCTTGTAAGCCAGTCACTTCTTGCCTTTGTAGCCTCCCCATTTTGGGTAGCCAATGTCCAAGTTGCCCATCCCTGTGGGAATGATCCTTGCTGTAAGTATTTGTTCCCTCTTTTGAGCTACTGCATCTATAGGTATAGGTCAAAGTCATCAAGGTCAAATTCTATCCGAATACTCTTTTTTTCCTCTTCTTTCTTTTTCTGGTTGAGGTTTGATCATCCAGTCATTGAAGCCAGGTCAAGTGGGTATTATCTGCAAGTGTGGGTGTTCTTGTGCATATGTCCTCTCTTCTTATCAGCTGGACGCTTCACTCTCCACTCTAGTTCTCTGCGGCTATGTCACTGACTCTGGGGCCAAGAGTCCCCAGGTCTTGCCACACTGCTGGCCAACCAGGTATCCAGCTAGGTTCACAGAAGTCTGTTGAACATTGTAGGGCTTAGCTTGCTGCTTCATTGCTGTTTTTCCCTCACTTCCCCTTACCAGTGACGAGCGTGGTCACCAATCAGAGCGTGTATTCCCATTGAGTCTTAGTCTTGGAAGGGAGTTTACTCTGAGAGAACCTGACCACTTGCCTTGATGACTCCTAGGCGAGCAACTTGCTTATTCTTGTAGTAATCAGGCAGTCTATCTATATTGTTTTGTATTTTTCCTGTAGGTCTTTCTTTCAAGAAGTATCTTCTGTTCTAGCTGCTCCAGGCTGGTCTACTTGTCCTTTCAAGTGGAAATTTCCCATCTCTGAAGATCTGGATGTGGTTCAGTCTTCCACCTATAGTCTTATGTAATGCAGAGGCTCCGCAGGAAGCCTCCTTCACTGGGCACGTAGTAGCCCCATTTTAGGTATTCCAATCAGTTATAGGCAGAAGGCTTACAAGCTTTCTATGGTGATGTTTATAGCTATTCCTTTCTCTCCCCCTCCAGTGTCTATTTTATAATATAATGCAAGGAAAACCAAGATTCAGAAGACAGCCAAGCATCTTAACATTATTCCCCTCTTTTCCCCATTCCAACCATGTCTCAATCTCTGTATCCCAGAGCCCTGTTGTTCCAAGGTTGAGCATACATCATTATTTACCTCTGTCCCACTTAGCCCATGCAAACCTGCCTAATTGTTCTCCCATCTGCTTTGAAGAGCCAACTTCATGCCTTGTAAATTCTTTGTTGTTTTTCCGTTTCCTAATTCATTTATTTCTGTTCTCATCTTTTCTTCTGGTGACTGTAAACTTATTTTGCTGCTCTTTTTCTAGTTGTTGGAGATGTTTAGGTAAAGTGTTGGTAACATTCTTTGAGTTTGTGTTTGTTTATTGTTATGAATTGCCCTCTAAACACTGATTTTGCCGTGTCCCAATAGTTTTGGTATGTTTTCATTTTAATTTGATTTAAGGATTTTTTTTTTAATCTAAAGTTAAGTTGGGTTAAAGTTAAGTTGAGTATTATTCCATTTCCATGTATTTAATTTTTCCCCCTTGATTTTCCTAGTATAGATTTCTAATTTTATAGTACTGTGATCCGAAAAGAGCTTTGACATATTTCGATGTTTCAAAATTTATTGAGGCTTGCTTTGTAGCCTGACATATGGTCTCTTCTGGAGAATGTTCCATGTGCACTAGAAAAGAATGTGCATTGTGTTGTTGTGGGTTAGAGTGTTCTGTATAATTCTGTGAGCTCAGTTTGGTTTATTGTGTTTACTTCTGTGTTGAGTTTCTTTCTAATTGTTCTGTCCCTCATTGAAAGTGGTGTATTAATGTCTCCTACTATTATTGTAGTGAGCTCAGTGGTCCCATACTATGTCAGTGG